TAAGAGAGAGGAACAGTCAGATGGAACCACTACAGGATTACAGAGGGGAACGGAGATACCCACAAGACTAGAATACAAATTATCAACAAGCACACAGGTACTACACCAGACAACACCCGTCCTACTACCAAAACTGGACGAATCACTTCCAAAACGACACACCCTGGACGCAAACACAGTGGCCTCCTTACCAGAGCCTCAGATATTAACACCAAGTAAGGCTTCCAGCACTTCCACTAACACGATAACATCATTTATATTTGCCAACATCCAGGGTATAAAAACACGCAAAACCAACAAAGTTCAATTTATAGATGGTATCCTTCATGAGGGAAATGCAGTATTTGCAGCCCTAACAGAAACCCACACAAAGGACTACCATGATGGTGAAATATGGATCTCAGAGTACAATCTTTTCAGATGTGATAGGAAACACCGGCTTCAGGGTGGGGTCAGCCTCGACATCAAAGACACACTCATCTGTACTGAGCTGCTAAACACCTCAAATGATATGGTGGAAGTGCTGATAATCAAAATAGAGATTTTAAATGTAGTTATTGTCCTTGTATATAAGTCACCGGAGGCAAACCCTCAGCAGTTTAAAGACCAACTAATGAAAATAGAACACTGCTTGGAAAACCTCACAAATCCAGCTCCGAACATTATCCTGCTTGGGGACTTCAACCTACGGCACCTGAAATGGAAGCACCTGGCTAATACAGTAATATCAGAAAGAATACCAGGAAGTAGCCTAAATGAACAGGCACATGCAAATGACCTGCTACGGATGTGCGACAGGTTTGCCTTAAACCAGCAAATAGTAGAACCAACTAGGAAGGAGAACACGCTGGACCTCATTTTCACTAATAATGATGAATTGATCAGGAACATAATGATTACAAATACCTGTTACTCAGATCACAACTTAATTGAAGTTATGACAACCATGGGGAGTAGACCTTCAAAACCAGTCCAGATTCCCGGTGGAGGAGATTTCAGCAAATTCAACTTCAATAATAAACAGATAAACTGGGAGCAAATAAACCAGGACTTCACAGAAATAAACTGGGAAGAACAGCTAGAAAATGCAAACCTGAACCAGTGCCTGGAAAAAATAAGCTCAGTAGCACTAGAAATATGTTCAAACCGCATACCTGAAAGAAAATAGAGGAAGAGATGCAGATTGGAACGGGAACGTCGTTCCCTATATAGGCGAAGAAAACGAATCGCGGAACAACTTGAGAGTCGCACCCTATCTCAAGAACGGCGAAGAAGGTTAGGTAGAGAAATAGAAACAATTGAACGGAAGCTACAAGAATCATACAAAACCCAGGAGAGGCAAAGAGAGCAAAAGGCCATCAGTGAAATAGAAAGAAATCCGAAATATTTTTTCTCCTATGCAAAATCAAGATAAAAAACCACATCTAGTATCGGGCCCCTACGAAAGGGAGATGGAACTTTCACCGATGACAACAAAGAAATGAGCGAGCTACTGAGGACGCAGTACGACTCTGTTTTCAGCGAGCCATTAAACACACTAAAGATTGATAACCCAAATGAATTTTTCATGGATACGATACCAACATCAAATCATATATCAGACGTCACCCTATCCCCACTGGATTTTGAAGAAGCCATAAACAGTATGCCTATGCACTCTGCACCAGGCCCGGAGTCTTGGAACTCCATATTCATAAAGAACTGTAAAAAACCACTATCGCAGGCCCTCCACATTCTGTGGAGACAAAGCCTAGATACTGGCGTTATTCCTGATATACTAAAAACAGCAGAGATAGCACCACTTCATAAAGGAGGAAATAAGGCAGAGGCAAAAAATTACAGACCGATAGCACTAACATCGCACATCATAAAAAATTTTGAGAGTGCTGAGAAGTAAAATCACAAAATACATGGAATCACAGCAACTCCATAACCCCGGACAACATGGTTTCAGAACAGGGCGCTCTTGCCTGTCGCAGTTGCTGGACAACTATGATATGGCATTAGATGATATGGAAGACAAACATAACGCGGATGTAATTTACACAGATTTCGCAAAAGCTTTTGATAAATGTGACCATGGTGTTATTGCACATAAAATGCGTTCAAAAGGAATTACCGGAAAAATAGGCAGATGGATCTACAATTTCCTGACCAACAGAACCCAATGTGTAATAGTCAACAAAATAAAATCCAGCCCATCAACCGTGAAGAGCTCAGTCCCCCAGGGTACTGTGCGTGCTCCAGTACTTTTTCTCATCCTCATTTCGGACATAGACAAGAACACAACCTATAGCACTGTATCATCCTTTGCAGATGACACTAGGATCTTCATGAGAGTAGGCAACATAGAGGACACGGCGAACCTCCAGTCAGATGTAGATCAGGTCTTTCTATGGGCTACAGAAAATAATATGGTGTTTAACGAAGATAAGTTCCAGCTCATGCGCTATGGAAAAAATGAAAATATAAAAACGGAAACCACGTACAAAACTCAGGCAAATCATAACATAGAACGAAAAGGCAATGTAAAGGATCTGGGTGTACTCATGTCGGAAGACCTTACCTTTAAAGAACACAATAAAGTAGCCGTCACAACTGCAAGAAAAATGACAGGTTGGATAACAAGAACTTTTCACACTAGAGATGCTATACCGATGATGATACTTTTCAAAATGCTTGTGCTCTCTAGAATAGAGTACTGCTGCACAATGACAGCACCTTTCAAAGCTGGAGAAATTGCTGACCTGGAGAGCGTGCAGAGATCCTTTACTGCTAGAATCCACTCAGTAAAACATCTAAACTATTGGGACCGACTAAAGAGCCTAAAACTGTACTCCCTTGAGCGCAAGCGGGAGAGGTACGTAATAATTTACACGTGGAAAATATTAGAGGGGCTGGTCCCAAACCTGCACACAGAAATAACATCACATGAGACCAGAAGACATGGCAGGATGTGCAGAATACCCCCGTTGAAAAACAGAGGTGCAACTGGTACTCTGAAAGAGAACTCTATCAACATCAGAGGTCCGAGACTGTTCAACACGCTTCCACTACACATACTCTTGAGGTTATCTTGAGATGATTTCGGGGCTTTAGTGTCCCCGCGGCCCGGTCCTCGACCAGGCCTCCACCCCCAGGAAGCAGCCCGTGACAGCTGACTAACACCCAGGTACCTATTTACTGCTAGGTAACAGGGGCATTCAGAGTGAAAGAAACTTTGCCCATTTGTTTCTGCCTCGTGCGGGAATCGAACCCGCGCCACAGAATTACGAGTCCTGCACGCTATCCACCAGGCTACGAGGCCCATAATACATAAGGGGCATAACTGGCCGACCCCTCACAGTGTTCAAGAGAGAACTGGATAAGCACCTTCAAAGGATACCTGATCAACCAGGCTGTGACTCATACGTCAGGCTGCGAGCAGCCGCGTCCAACAGCCTGGTTGATCAGTCCAGAAACCAGGAGGCCTGGTCGACGACCGGGCCGCGGGGACGCTAAGCCCCGGAAGCACCTCAAGGTAACCTCAAGGTAAGGTATGCAATCGGAAACATTGAAATGAAATCGTAACGTATTTCAAATAGCGTGTGTTGCTCTCACGTGCAACAGATGGCGATGTTTTACCAAAAAAAGCATGTTTTTATCTGTCGCAGGTGTTGCATCTAGACAGTAGGTATATAAAAACATGCACGTATTCGAATGAAACGTTGTGACAAAATTTCAAAGCATTCGGAGAAGAACTTTCATAGTTTACAGCATGTGTTGCTCTTCCGTCCTACAGATGGTGCTGATTTTCCAAAAAATCATGTTTTTTCCTATTACAGATAAGGCATGTATATAGTAGGTAAATAAAAACGCTCCTCTATTCGAATGCAACGTTGTGTCAAAATTTTAAAGCAATCGGTAAAAAGGTTTCGAAGATTTCCCTCACATGAAAAACACAGTTTTTAAAAAAAGCATGTTTTTCCCGTCACAGACGTGACATATTTATAGTATGTATATAAAAATCTGCTCGGATGCGAATGGAACGATGTGTGAAAATTTCAAAGCAATCGGTGAAGAACTTTCGGAGATTAGCGATTTCAAACAAACGAACATTTCCATTTTTATTTATATTGATTGTGGATATATAGGCATAGGTTAGGTATTTAGGTTCTGTTGTGATTATATGTATTTATCAACCCGTCCTCGACTCAAGTCCATTACATTCAACCCCACAGACGCATTCATAAATTTTAACATACTGTTCATTCAAAACGGGAATTTTCGCAAGTATAAATTAATATTATAATATATTAGCATATTGTGTATATATAGGCATAGGATAGGTTAGGTTAGGTGTTTAGGTTCTGTTGGCGATTATTTGTATTTGTAGTACGTGGGTGAAGCATTTACAACATTGTGATTCAAACAAAATACGTCAGTGAAGCACTTGTTCCGGATATGTTCGAACGTCAGCAGTTGTGGGTCGTGTGTAAACCGCTTTTCATTCATAAACAGGGGGTTTGGCGGGTGCATGGAATCACTTTTGAATCTTTGTTTGGAGGACGGGCTGGTATTTATAGTACGTGGGTGAAGCATTTATAGCATTGTGGTTCGAACAAAATTCGTCAGTGAAGCACTTGTTCCGGAAGTGTTCGAACGTCAGCAGTTGTGAGTCGTGTGTAAACCGTTTTCATTCATAAACAGGGGGTTAGGCGGGTGCATGGAATCACTTTTGGATCTTTGTTTGGAGGACGGGCTGGCCTGGCGATGGTGGGCCTGGACCTGTAGTGCTTGTTAACATGGTTTGTTTCTTATCATAATATATTTATTATTGTTTAATTTGTAATCCCTTATTATATATTATTAACATTAACACAGCCTGCTTTACGTGTACAAGAGTGGGTAATAAAAACAATGTTTTGTATTCCATTGGAGTAGTTACGGCGGTGATAACAAGCAGAGTCAAGCAGTTATCTTCTTAGACTCGTTCTAGTGCCTCGCAGTTGTTACGAAGACGTCAGACTGCAGGAGAAGCTAGCGTGTGAGCTTAGCGAGGCTATGTGAAGGCTGCCTTGTGACTGACTGCTCAGAACTCTCCGAGCTCTTGTGGGGATTTGTAGTTGTGTGTTCTCGTCAGGTCCAGTGACTTGTAAGTGTGTGTTAATGCTGGGTCTTGTGGTGACTTGTGTGGTGTGTTTATTTAATCTTATTTTGCTTTTAGTTTTTTCTTAATGTTTTATTTAAAGTATTTGGGAAGTATATTCTAATGTTCATATACCATAATTATCCAATGTTCAGTTTAATGCTAATGAACTGTTCATTTTGTTGGGTTGGAATAGGCCTGTATTGCCTGACCTATTATCTTTTAAGGATGTAGATTTTTAACGCATCAATAAGCTTTTAATGCTGTTTATTTAAAATAAGCTTACTGCCTGCCACGTATGGGTAGGAAAAGTATCAGTTTTGATTACTCCAATCGACAAATTTAGTCTTCACGACGCATGACTTAAGACATTGGTAATAGTTAAAAATGCCGTCTTTGTCGAAAAAGGCTATCTTAAATCTTGGCCTACATTGAAGAGGGGAAACTGTCTAGTTTAGAACTTGCTGGTATAAGGGGAGATAAGATTACCTTGTCGTATGCTACCAAGGGACATCTTGTATTTTAAGCAGAGAAAAACTCTGCAGTGTTGGTTTAACATTGCAAGGTTAATAGATGGTGGGAGTGATGAAAGTCGAATTAGTCTTGCCGTGTCTTTATGGTGGACACTCTAATGTTTTATGGAAATGGTTAGTGAGCAAAGTCTCCTAGAGTGGTGGGATGTGATAGTCGTGCGGTATAATCCTCTTTCAGATTTGACTGATTTGTGGTAGGGTATTCTTCTGGTTATAAATGGTTAAAAAAAAATCGGTTGCTTATCTGTTGCTCGGTATAAAAGTATTGGTGTATTTGTTTAACGAGGCTAACCACTAAGCTAGTGTTCTGACCTGATTACTAATTTGTGGTTGTTTGCGACTTGCTGATATGAATGGAATTGTGCACAGATTTCAGGGTAAATAAGGCTGTATTGGTGTTTGAGGGAGCAAGCAAGCCTTCGTAATGGAGTGCACGTTGTCTAGTGAAATGAGTTACTCAAGGTTTTAAGTGTAAGATAGTGTAATGAAAATCCAAAGGCCTGGGTATAAGGCATTGCAGGCATGTCTTAAATTGTGGCAAGAGATTCTTAGAGATTTGTACACCCGTTAATCTATATAAATAAAAATGAATGTTTGTGCATGACCGCTAATATCTGAATTCTTCAGATTGCTTCGAAATTTTGACAATGTTGCATTCGAATAGGCATCTTCTATACCTACTATATAGATGCCACCCCTGTGACGGGTAAGAACGGGTTCTTGAAAAACGGCGCCATCTGTTGCACATAATGGCAACATGCACGCTATACTAAATGTCAAATCTTATTTTCCTATTTAAATTTATATTTTGAATTATTTTGACATTGTTGGAATAGCTGTTTACCGTACCGTTCATTTAGCGAGTTGCTTTTTTCATGCTTTCATTAAATTTTTTAAGTTTCTTATTTCAGCGATGGGAACACTGGATCACTTGATGTCCCCAATTGTGATGAACTTCAGTCCATTTGGGAAGGCATCGGACGAGGGAATGGTGGGGATGGGAAAGTATGTGGGAACGGGGGTTTAGGATAGGGGAAATGGACAGGTGCGTGGTCATGGTGGGAAGGGAAAGGGAGATGGTGGAATGGAGGACGGAGACAGGTGAGGGGTGAATTGGGGGGGGGAGTAGGGACGGTTGCTGTGAGCTCGGCAACGCTTGGGTCACAGAAACGCGTGGCCAGTTTCTGCTACTAGTAAATAATTCCTTACTACACTAGGAAAACTTGCATGAACCAGGCGAAAATTGATTGGCAAAAAATCTTAAAGGTTTCGATAAACATAGAACTCTTAACACCTTGAATAGTTCTAAAGTGTGCTGGGCAGGTTGCTATGACAGCTGTAATGTTGAGGGACGGTGTCAAACCTGATAAGCGTTATCGTAGCTAACAAATCTGAACGGGTCGGTAGACGGTTGATATGGGGTTTTGGTATATTGGGTTGCGATGCTGGGTTAGGATACTGAATCTTAAAGCTTCAGTTTCTGGAGGAAACCGGATCTTTCGGTGCTATGGCATCTTCATTAACGGTGCCCTCTTCCCATTTTTTAAGGGTAAAGAATAACTACTATCGTGCCGGTTCGGAATGTTAGAGCTCCTGGTTCTTGGTTAAGTGTGGCAACTTTTCTCTGGACACCTGTGTTGGCAGTGCAGGAAGTTGGCCTTCCTGAAACACTACGGGTGTGCGGATAAGTCTTGCGAGATTGGATTTTGTGATGGACGTTACAAAATCACTTGAGTGGGCATCGCTAGTTCAGTTGTGTTGACCATTACATTGAAAGACGAGGCATGAAGAATAGGGACTTGCCAAAAGGTATAAGTTTAGAATGGTCTTAAAGTCGGTTTTGATGACATTTTGACCTGCAAGATGTACTGTAATACAAAACTAGAGTAACGTCGCACTAAAGGTTTATTGACAAGATGATGCTTGGTGTCTGTACCAAAAATTTAGCTTAAAGTATACTATTGCTTGCTATACAGCTGTAGTTGAACATTTTTGGAAGAGCTATAATGGCATAGTTTTCTAGTTAGTGCGTTACTACCGAAACTTTCATATTGGTCATGTTGTTGGTTCCTAATACCAGGGTGGCTGGCTTCCACCCCATATTCTTGTATGTGTTGTGGCAAATTTGTAAGGTTGGTTATGTAAACTAGTACAGGTGTTGCTCCCCTGCGGGGCACCTGCTGGGGTGGCAGCAGCACTAGAGCACAGGGTGGGGTGAAGATGTGCAACACGTACTAGTCACCAGTGTGATGTTTTGATAAATGAACGACGCTACCTACTAATACTTTGTGTATTGTATAAAGACTTGTGCATTATGGTAGACTTGAACGGCATAGCCCTAAATGTTACGAACGAATACTGCTTTGGTTATGCAGTATTGCTGTTGTCTCCTCCTCTGTATGTTGGTTTCTTGGGATGTCATTGGTTTTCCTCTTGTGCAGCTTTGGAGCAACATGTTTCGGATTTTTTTCTTTTAGAGGATAGAATAAAGTAAACGGGTTGTTGCTGCTAACTATAGTAAGTTTTTACTGAAGGTTGTAGGCTTTTTGTAGCCTTGGGTACAGATTGTAATGTAATGGACTTTCAATCTCATGATTGAGTGACTGCTGGTTTGGGATCTCTGGTATTTGGTATAAAAACTTGTTGTATAATTTGTTTGGGTACTTCGATATCTTATGATTTAGGATATACTCTTTAGGATTTTAAGATAAAAAGACTTGCATGGCCAGGTGTAATACTACCTACAAAGTGCAGAGGGTGGGCTCTACTGTATTGTTTCAGTACTGAAGCTGCACTGGTGTTGCATTAGTACGCTGCTGCGTTGTCCAGTATGAAATTTGAAATAGACTAAAGGTGTAATTGTGTTCTGAACGTGTTAATTATAACTAAAATCTTTAAACTGGCAAAGATGTTTTGTAAAGGAAGCTCTGCAGGGGTTAATTTTGGGTAATTGTTGGTTTTTGTTGGTGTGTATTTGATGTTGGCTCGTTTTCATTAATATATACTGTAGTTAAAGTATTTAACTTTATGTAAATACTGGAAAGTGCAAGAGATAAAAAGAGCCGTGCGTGAATCTTTTATCCTAGTAACCTCTTAAGAATAAAACTAATGGAACACTTTAATACAAAAATATTCTATTTGCACTGTTTCGGCAAGTCAACATTGCATCTCAAACGTAGTGATTTTCACAATTACCAAAGTGAATTGGTTATGAGGTGTCACTGCTGTTGTTAAACCCCCTACAGGCCTCTTAGCAAAATGATTTTGGAAACTGGAGCAGCGGTGGCGGCGGCTGTGGTTCTGGGCACAAGGTTGGCCTACAGGTCCCAAGCCGGCAGGTGCTCCTCCACAAGACACCTCTTGGGGAAAACTGTCATTGTCACAGGCGCCTCTGCTGGTAAGTGATGCCTAGGGGGGGGGGGCTATTTGCATTGAAGGTAGTGGGCAGGAGTTTGTATTAAATCTTAATATTTAGGTGAGTAGGCTAGAGCTGTAATTTAAAATTTCCGTAAGTGGAAGAGCAATGTCACCGTTTTCGATCATGATTATGGAAGATCGAATCGCCTGTAAAACGTAGGGGGGGGGGGGGGGCTGATGTGGACGTAACTTAAATTATCGTAATTGGTTGTAATATATATATACGGTCCCAGGCATCGGGAAAGAGGCGGTGTATGACTTGGCCAGAAGAGGCGCACGCATCATCCTCGCCTGCAGGAACACAGAGAAGGGCCAGAAGGTTGCAGGTAAGTGTTTCTACTGTTCAGACCCATGTTGGTGTTGAGACTGTACTGACTATGGTTTGCGTCGGGCTTGAACGTTTGCTCCAGACTGGCGTTGACTAAACTCTAGTTCTGATGTGTTTACTAGGTGTTATTCTTATTGTTTATTTCTGGTCTAGATAAGTTTAATTGCATAGTTTTCCTCTGTGAACTTGTCCAACTTCATTACTACTTCCAGACGAAGTCATGAGAACTACACGCAACAGGAAGATGGAAGTGCGTCAGTTGGACACTTCCGACCTGACCTCGGTCAGGGAGTTTGCTGAAGGCGTCCTGGCCACGGAGAAGAGTCTACATGTCTTGGTAAGCAAACTTTCGCTTTTTGTCCTTCCCTATACGTCCCATCTTTCTCCCCCCCCCCCCCTCCCCTTTTTCTAAAGTCCTGGCGCCAGATTCACGAAGTCACGCAAGCACTTGTGAACCTGGACATCTTTTTTGTCGGGGGGGGATTTAAAATTATTATACGGTTAATGAGCTCGGAAGCACCAGGAGGCTGTTCTATAGTTCATAAATGTCTTCATCCTTGTAAAGTTTAAAAAATGTAACCAAAGCCATCAAAAGCTGAAGATGTACACGTTCGTAAGTACTTAATTGGTTCGTGACTCTTGCCGCTGCTCTAGATAAATTTAAATCGTGAATATGGTCACTGAAAGTTAAAGGAGAGCATAAAGTAAAAGTTGTGTACACGTCCCATAACACTAAATTAACAACTTCGGGAATATGTTCACTACGGATTTCTAAGTTAAGATTACACTTCTGCAATGTCCAATAGTTTTGTTGAAAGGGGAAGACAGATGGAGGGTAAAGGACCCAACTCCCTGACGATCACTTTGGTCCTCTGACTCTATGGATAAGTCAGAATAAGCACCGTGGGGAAGGGGGGGGGGGGGGAAGGCGGCGGGGAAAGGCGGTCAGTATCGCCTTGTGGTGAAGGGGCTCGGGTAAATCGCCTCCCTGAGATGTTTCAGTCACCCTACCCCTCTTGGGTGTTGTACATGCAAAAGGGCACGAATGTGGGGTCCTTGACTTGCTGGACCACCCGTTGGAGGGGCTGCCTGTGAAGGGCTTTCCTAAGTGGATGCTTGGATCTCTAGGCTGGGGTAAAAGGGATACCGAGGTCTTTGCACCAATGTGGGCAGTAGGACTTGTTAATAAAAGTAGAGCACCGTTGGGGACGACTCGCCCCTTTCCGTACTGGCATGTCCTCGGCTTTCCTGGCTGCCATAAGATGGTATTGCTTGTCTCTAGGCTCCAACTTGTAGGATTGTTGTATGGAAACTGAACAAAAATCTTTCCTAGGCTCAATGGTCGGGCAGCCAAGCCTCGGTCAAACTATGATGGAAGACCTGTCTGTAGCACCCACTACATTAGGCCCAGAAAGCTACTGCATTGACCATCCCAACCCCCACCATCTACTCAACCCCCCCCCCCCCCACACCTCTTAGGTTGAGCCCCAAGCCATAAGTGGTAAGCTGTAGTGGCTCCTTTAACAACTGTGCCTTTCTAAACCCCCCCCCCCCCTCCCTTCTTACTGGGAGTTGCTGTGCCCCCCCCCCAGAATCTTTCCAGTGCTAATACGTTCCATGCCTTGTTTGGTCCTAATAAATGGACTAAATACTTTGATCACGACCCTCTGTATCCTGAACGTCCTGACTTCTTCCACCATAAACATCTTGATTTGGTGGATGGATGTTACTTTTCACCCCACCTGTTTCGGTAATTGTCGTTGCTGCCCTTTGTTGGGAAACGGCTGCTTGCTTAATCCTGGTACTAGACACCACACCACCTGTTAGGTGCTGGAAATATGGGCATGGTGCCCTCAAATTCTAAAGTGCAGTGTCTTGCACCATGTGTGGGACTCTAATCACTCGGAGGGAGTGCTCTTCTTCCCAGGCTTATTGCAATAAATTTCGGTGACGCCCACCCTACCTTCTCCCACACATGTACACTACAAAAGTTGAAGCCATCCTTAATTTAAAGTAGAAAGTTTTTCCTGAAGCGAGATGCTACGTCTGCTGTGTACTTTCTTTTGCTAGCGCACATTATGCTGTACCTCGCCCTTCCCTCCTTTGTCAGTCTCGCTAATTTCCAGTTCCTGGACATGCAGACTCCTCACCTGCTCCTTTGTTCTGAACCAAGATGGGAGGGAGTTCCCTCCTGGTCCTACATCTGGCGTTTCCCTCCCAGTAGTCTTCCTAATCTCTCATTTCCCCCCTCCCCCCACACGCCCCCTTTCAGATCATCTTCGTCTCTTGGCCCTCGGCACCACCTGTCTGTCCAGGCTATTATCCACGATCCACCCAGCAATCTTAATGTGGATTGCTCTGGTTTTTCTTTTGTTCAGACTTTACTGATACACGGTACGCTACGGCTGGCACACATGTCTCGGTCATAAACGCAAGCCTGGGTCCTCTCCTTCCTCATTCCTGGCAGGTAAGAAGGCATCGCGTTCTTCCTCGGGACCCCCTCTCGCTGCATCCCCTCGCCTTTCGATGTTAAGGCCCCCCCCCCCCTGTCCTGGCAAAGGAGGTACATTTGTAGGTTGCTCTTTGCTGAGGTACACTCCCCCTCCTCCCCCCCCCCCTCCTCCACCCTGATTTCCTTGAGCGCCCCTCTCCATTCCCTCCTCCCGCTCTGGACCCTGTCCGCCTCTGGTCTGTCCTCCCGCTCCTTTGACTCCATCGTCCTTACTAAATTTACTCGTCCCAAACCCCAACTTCACTGATCCTGATCTTCATTGGTATACTATGTTTTTTGTATTCGCCTCTTCAATGTTCTGTTGCTGTTCTCTCATTGATAGTCTATTCAATGGAATCTTAGATTTTATGCAAACTTCCATTAATTTCAACTTCTAATTAGTTTTCACCATTTAGTGTCCAGATGATGCTTGGTACTCTTAGTGGTTACTTTCTGTATTCTCTTTTCCTGCTGGGGCCCTTAACTCTTTCCTGCTCTAGATTTATACCAATATTTTTTCTCCCCCTTTTTCCCCCCCCCCTGTTTCGGTTGCCTATTCAATGTTCTGCGGCCCATATATTTGCGTAAATAGTATACTTTTCCATCTCGCCCCAAATGTCTTTCCTGTTCTTCAGCACCTGATGAACTCCTTACCAGAGCCTGTGCAACTGTTCAGTGACTTAACCTGTCGGCATAACCTCTACCGTGATGTTCTGACAAGCGCCTGGGTTCACCTTATCAAACCATTTGCCCTCTTCCCTGTCTTCTGAATTAGATTCCACTTGTGTGGATTCTCGTACTCGCGCCCTCGTGTCTTGATCTTTCTACTCTTCTCTTTACTTGGGTTTCACGTGGTAGGTTCTTGATGACTTCCATAAATGACCATTTTCCCCATCCTTGTTGCCTTTTTTCTTTTCGTGCACTACCTTCCTAGGTGGCAGTTTGCCGAGGCTGACTAGAACCTATTCAACATGCATGCTACTTTCTGACCTCTCCACTCTGCCTCTCCCTCGAGCCGCCCTCCTTTTATGACGCCATATTCGACGTTACCCTCTGCTCTACTCCTAGCTATCTCTTGGTGCACAGTGCATTCCCTGTTGGAATGCCTGCTCTGGCTGTTAGCAGGCAGCCTGGAAGAAACTCCGGCGCTGGCAGAAGGCAGATTCTTTCACTTTGAGGGAAGAATGTAGACTCGTCGGACTAACCGTACACCTAAACGTGAGAGTTGGAAATCTTAGTTGGACATAATCCAACTTTACAGCTAGTTATAGTTGGAAACTAGTTTCCATGTGATGGGGTTCGCCCATGGTTTTAATGCAGTTGCACCTCGGCTCTGATGCCTTTTGATAATCCCTTAACTAGGTGTTCAGTCTATAAGTGTCGCTATCTTTGCAACCTTCTGCACTTCTTTGGTCCATAAAACGCCCACGTGTGCCGTACATTGTCCTGCTGAAGGGGCCCTGGTCGCCAATAACTTAAAGAATGGTTACTTTACATTTTCCCCTTGGTACCTGTCCAGTGTTCCCCCTCGTGCTCCTGCCTTGCCTTTCTAGGTTATTCTTGGATAACCATTAATTTTTTCACCATATTATATAAACCCGTTCTCTGCATTAGTTAACTACAGAATTGTTAAAATTGACAAGGTGTTCACTCAAAATATGAATCATGAAATGTAAATAGTCATTACTATAGTGCATATTTAGGCATTTGGATTGGTTACATATTTAGGTTGTTGGCGATTGTGTAGTGTGGGTGAAGCACTTAGAGCATTGTTCTGAAAAGTAGACGGCGAAGTACTTGTTCGAACACAAGTCTTGTAAACCGTTCTTCATTCCATTAACACTCCAAACGCCGTTTATGAATGTACTTTGGCCTGTGTTTGAGGATGGGATGACTTTATACTGGGTGTTTTTAAGACTAGGGTTGGTAGATCTCTATAGTGAGGAATCGGAACACCTTCACTAGGTAAACACAACCTTCAGTTCCCTCACCAAAGTCTTTGGCGTTACATATTTCGGAAATTAACAAAATTCTCTGGTGCAAATATTGACGCCTGAATTTAGCGCAGACCTTAGAAAAAAAATGTAAGTCTGAAAACTAGCATACAAGGATGAAAGTATTAGAGCAAAATCTTACATGCTTTGGTACGTGTAGCAGTGTGCATCTAGTAAATCTCTAGACTGAAAATATTTTCTTAAACACTGTACCACTCTTAGTATCTCGATATCAATGTTTAATATCAGAGCTTGAGCTTTGATATTAATCACAACGTGGCATTAAACGTGTAGGCTCTATGGCTACTTTGCCTTTTAACTCCAAAGGCAGGATTGGGAGAGGCAATAGGTCTTCCTCCCCCCCCCCCTACTAGTTAAGTCTTGGAGTTTACTAGTTTGACACTAGGAAATGCATTGGTTACTAACTGGAAGGTCATAGTAGTTGCCAAGACTATCCAAATGTTTTATATTTATCAAGCCATATTCAAACTGAAATTATACCTGAACTGTGAGTCGTGAATTAAATTTTTAAGCAGTTTTTTAGAGCAACTGGAAAAATTGGTGTATGTGGGGGGGGGATGCCCATACAGCCTAATAATATGCAAAGGTAAAAAGTTGGAGATGGTGTATACGGATAAGCCATACTAGGGTTAACTTTTTTCTTTACTTAAATTTTAGGGGATAGTTTGTGTTTTTAAAGAACTTTATTTCAAATGCATTGCAGTCCAGTTACTCGTCTAATGTCACTACCTTTAATTTTGCCAAGAGTAATAAAATTAACATACTGCCTATAGGCTTTATAAAGTATTGGATGCTGTCCATTGCCCATAATGACTGCCGCCCTGACCCATATTACTGTGACAGATGAACAACGCAGGAACGCTGGGCATGGCTGAGAAACGCACCACAGCAGATGGTCTGGAGCTGACTATGGCCACCAACTACTTTAGTCACTTCCTTCTCACCAACATGGTCTTGGGTAAGTGACCTCCGTCACCTTTGTTAAAGGTCTCTGATGTAACTTATGACGATCTTTGTGTAGCTTGTCTTTAATAATGGCATGGCTGCCATTCAAAATTTCCAGCAAGACCTTGTCTAGGTAAATAATCAGTGTAATAGGGTAATGTCCACTAGCAGAGGCCAAATTCGAGAACTCGAAGGGAGACTTGACTCTGCAGTGTTGCTAGTCCTGTTAGTAGTGGGCTCTAGTGTGGCACACTAATCTTTGTTCCTCTTGTTGCACTATTGCCACAACTGTTTTACTAGCAGTACCCGCCACGCGTTGCTGTGGCTCAGTCTGGATAAGTGGGAAAGAAAGAAAAGGGAAAGCGCAAGTTTCTAATGTTTAATTTTACAATGCTTGTGAGTATACAATATTTTTTTTGTTCCATTGTCTGTAGAGATATAGATTGTCTGGGTTGCCAACTCTAGAACACACTAAATATAATTGTCCATGTAAGAAGCAATCTGTCGAGATATAAACTGCACAATTCTGAAGATTGGCCCAGAGCTTTGTTGGTGATTGCAAACGCCAATCAAATTGGAAATTACAATATCTTAAATTGAAATGGCATATTTGTTAATCATAGGAATGCTAGGAATAAGGACATCTTCACGTTTGAAAGGTCCTGTCAAGATTGTTGCTTCTACTACGACGCTGATTAATTTTTTTACAGCAAGCCGCGTGGCATTTCGAAGTTTTGGCTGGTTGATATTTCGCAACACAATTGGCACGCAGATTTTAAATTGCCGTACGTGTGATCGTATCCCTGGCAGATAGTGAATTAAAGTTGTTGGATAATTAACCGCTTCATCTGCTTACTTAAGTGTCGACGGACTTGTATGTGTTTGCCTAGCTTTGAATGTTAGACTGAATGTTAAATTCGTGTGCGGGATGCTTTGGAAGTGTTGCACGTGGGAGTTTCAATGAATTGCATTTTCGATGGCAATTTCAAAGCAGAGGTAGCGGTTCTTCCACTTAGTAGCAATGTAGCGGCTATTCCGGACAATGCATGAGCTAAGGCTATGCCATTTTGGGATTGAAATCCTGACAATTGTCACGTGGGGGTGGGCGGTCCGGGGCTCTGCTAACACTCGGCTGCTAGGGGCTCAAAGGGCCCAAATACTCAGCCCCTCCGACTCCCTGGATTCACCAGAGTCTCCTTGGTCACACAAGATAGGACCAACAATGCCCACCTCCGCAGGTCTTTGCTTCCACCACAAAGGGGTGCCACTGATTCACCCTGGAAGCCCTTCAGTCAACCACGGGGAAACTGCTGTTAACAGTTCCGGCCTAGACCCGTGGGAGAGTGAAGGAAGACTCAGGCTTACCTATAACCATAGCCTCTCTGAGTCTTGCCTGCCAGACAAAAAAAAGGTTGCAGGAACTCCTTTCCCGCCTGTCTTCTCTATCTTCCTCTTAGCAAGGTCGCCAGCTGGGTTATTATATCTGCACCCCAGCAATGCAGTTCAGTGGGTGTATCATATATCGTTTGTAGCCAAAAATGTGTGCTCGTAGAGAAATATCACAAATGGAGGCACACTCAAACACAGTAATAAAATGTGTGGATTTACTGACGCAAATTACATGAACACACACACACAATCACAAGTAATACATGAATATGGAATATGGATAATGAGTCTGGAGATCGTCAGCCTCTTCTTCCACGACCTCCAACTCTCCTTCAACTGGGCAGGAAGACAGGAGTCTCACACTCTCACAGGAGGGCCTCTTCACCACGTCGGCACCTCTTCTTCACTGTCCTGCCATCCATACACACTGTCCTCTGACAGTCCTGGACACAAGCTGCCTTGCAGCCTACTCTACTATTAAAGTAATAAAGTCTTGCTGCCACATACACGAGTAGATATTGTGGCCTAACTAGCCTACTCATACAAGGGGTAATGGGAGGGAAAATGATCTACCTTACACTCCTGGCTCACGACGCCTGTCCCTCGATGGTGTGAGGGTCCCACGCTTCCTTGGGTCGATCCTCGACGATCCAGGACGTTCCACAGGTCCTCAGGTGTCGTGAAGCCTTCGCGTCGTCGCCGTTCCAATCCCTGAGATTCAGCTGCCCCAATCCTGGTTCATCGATGGGCGCTGAGCTAATCTCTATTTTTCCCCACACTCGCCTCTCCCACAGGGCGTCGCTCCTTGTCCTAGGCACGGTGTCGTCCTTCCAAGATTCTCGGTGGATGTGACCCCAGTCACAGCTGGGCTTGCTCGCCCCACCTTCCAGACCTCAACGTCCAGCCAGCGGCGCCGCCCAGCGTCGTCGCCGACTATTTTCCAAGTTTGGGCACTTCTCTGCTCACTGAACTTGGTTCCTCTTTGGCTTCCCAGAAGCGCAGGGTCTCCAATAACTATGTTGGCGGCGATGGTCAGCTCAATCCACTGGACAAGGCTTGCAGAGCCTCCAATTCTTGAGAGCAGACCGAGGCGCGTCCTGTCGCTTCCACGGTCAGTACAACTCTCACGTTGGCGCCGCCCGGGGCACTCGGTGACGTCATGGCGGGCCCTGATTTGTCGCCCGCGACCTACGTCGGCCAATCCGCGATCGGCTTGTCTCCCTTCCAAAAGGTCATATCTGCCGTAGGGGATACTGTTTCATTTTATAACAGGGCGCCAATTTTCCTTTATTTACAACTTATAATATAACTTCTTCCATTAAATGGCAGCCGGTCTGGTCGCCACATATATCATTAGACTCCCTGAACCTCAGAGAATCAGTAGGGAGAGCTGATATGACTCTTTAAGCCGGCAAACGAAAGAAATAGGAGAGGGCACCGTAACACAATCAAATAGGAAATGTTTTACCAGTTCTTCCTGTCGCAACTAAATTTCTAAAGCCCGTTATTGACAGTTTGAATTTTGATTGTAAATGCGTTTTCGCTTAAGCATTAGATTAGGAATATTTGATTACACACACAACAGATCACCCGTATTGTAACTTTGTTCACGACGCTATTCTACATAGAATGAAGCGGCAGCAGATCGATTCAGTGATGGCATTTTCAATTGAGAACTTTGTTAGCGATTGCTAAGCACAGATCTTCAATCATTATCAAAGATTCGTTGTAGATTTCTGCTGTGAAATCTGTTCTTATTTGAATTTTCCTTGTGTATTCGACGTAAAATATCTTGAGCCATGTGCAGTTTATATTTCTTCCATAACTCTGTTGAAGATGGAGAGCCGGTGGTCAATAAGATTTCAAACAATGCACGATTTTGATTTGGATGTGACGTGTAGGACGTGTCATTAATGCATACATCCCAGTGTCGGTCGTTCTCCAATTAATTCAGAGGTTGACATGCACTACGGAAAGTGTCATGTGTAACGCTGTTGACAAATCTCAATTGCTGGAAGATATTGATCCAGGCACATTTACCAACAGCATGCGAAGAAAGAAGCATTAGTCTTGATAAAGATGCACGGTGGATGTCTGCCTATAGTAGTTTATTTGAATATGCTAGATTGTCCGTCGACTCTCTCCTCGTTTGCGTCGTTCAAATGATTTTCTACTGGCATTCCACGTGTAAAACGTGGGCTCTTCTGAATACAGCAGACGTTTTGCAAATGTCACTTTGACATAACATGAAGAAAGCAGTAACCGTTGTATCTGGTAGATTCATAACTGTTGATTGCACACTTGCATCTGTGAAATGTGTTTTACAAGTTTTCAAAACATAACCAATATACTAAAATATTTAAAGTCAAACGCAGATCAATCAACACGGCTCTAATTCACCCAATTGCACTGAAATAAGAACAAAATGAAAAACAAAGACTATACTCACAAATTGAACACTATGGTAAACAATGCAGGGCAATTCCAAAGGAATGTCACACAAAACAATTAAATCAATGAAAATCAGTATGGAAAAATCAATATCAATGGAATCGGAATCTTTGAAATGAAATCGTAACGCATTTTAAATAGTGTTGCTCTTACGTGCAACAGATGGCGCTGTTTTACCAAAAAAGCATGTTTTTACCTGTCACAGGTGTAGCATGTAGACAGTAGGTATATAAAAACTTGCACATATTCGAATGAAACGTTGACAATTTCAAAGCAATTGGAAGAGAACTTTAAGTTTACAGCATGTTTCACTTCCGTCCTACAGATGGTGCCGATTTTCCAAAATAAGGCATGTATATAGTAGGCAAATAAAAACGCTCATCTATTAGAATGAAATGTCAAAATTTCAAAGCAATCGGGTAAAGAGGTTTCGAAGATTTCCCTCGCATGAAAGTTTTTCAAAATGGCTCCCCCCCCCCCGTCACAGACGTGACATGTTTATAGTATGTATATAAAAACCGCTCGGATGCAAATGGAACGATGTGTAAATTTCAAAGCAATCGGTGAAAAACTTTCGGAGATTAGCTATTTTGAACAAACTAGCATTTAAATTTTTATTTATAGATTTTTAAATGCAGGCATGCAAATAAATACAATAAAACATATCGACGAAGGAAACGGAAAACCACTGGCCAGAAGGACCGAACGCAAAGTTAAACAAAGTATAACGGGAGAAAACTAAAGAGACACAACATAAAAAAAAAATCAAAACGCAATGTAAACGGGCACACAATCTAATTACTCTTGCCATACTTTTTATTTTGTAAACAAATCAAACATTAGCACCGGCCTGAAGGACGGACAATAAAGCACAACATGAAAGACAATGTACGGCAAAACATCGAACAACACACAACACGCAAAACAAACACAAATACATAAGACAGGGCATATACAAACACACAATACCCCCAAGCACATGAACAAAACGCACAAACTACTGGCCTTGAAACAAACAACGGAAGAGGCAAGAGCACAAAAAGATAAGAAACTCACAACTAGCACACAATATGGCAAACGGCCTGAGGGGTGGGGCCCCACACTACACAAAGCACAAACGGGATATTAGCGCACATATTTGCTCGGAAACCGGACCCAATGGGAACTGCACAT